CAACTAAGGCAAAAATGTAATTAATTTAGAAAATTTTTTCAGGACCCCACCTTGATGTTTCGGGACCCCACTTTGGGTCCCGACCCTAACTTTGGGAAACAATGACCTGTTGTACATGTTGTGTTGTGGGGGAAACCGGAGTACCTGGAGAAAACCCACACAAGCATGAGGAGAACAAGCAAACTCCACACAGAAAGACCCCAAGTCCGAACCGGGGATTGAACCCAGGACCTTCTTGTTGTGAGGCGTTAGTGCTAACCACTGAGCCATCGTGCTGCCAGTTTCATCAGTTTGTTAGCATCACCATATGTGACGGACCACGGGAAAACCAGCAACAAGTTGCTGAAAACAAACAGAGAAAAAAAGGAAAAACTATCATTTTCTGAGAAAATAGTGATTTTCGTTTTTGGCAAAACATAGTAGTTGAAGTGATGAAGAATCCACCCCATGCTTTAAATAGCAGTTTCAGGGTTTTTAAAATGTTAACATTGTGTTTGAATTCAGCCTGTTTTCAGAGTAAAAAGAGTCTACAGGTAATTTGTGTTTCAGGGAGGAGAGCTGATTAACACGCTGGTTCTGTTTGGCTGTTAACACACCTTTGTTATTGGTTTCAGCCAGTGAGTTGCCAGTCCAGTTGCTTCTCTTTTCTTTTCATTCTCCATGTCCTGTTAATCCACAAAAAGTAACGTCTTTCTTTGGTCACGGTCACGTATCCAAACTCATCACTTTGTTGCAAAAAATAAAAAATAAAAAAGCTTCACCGGAGCATCCAGTCAGAGGAAAGTTCATTTATAAACACTGAACTAAACAAGCATGTTGGATAGCATGTTTAGCTAACTGTAAACAGACAGCTGGCTGAATGGGACATGATGCACACACAGGTCACAACAGCATCATCTACAGTTCACAGTAGTCTGATGGAGGTCACATTTAAAATATAATGTGAACGTTCACACCAAAAGATCAGAACTGAGCATGAAGACCTGCAGTGAGAGTTCATTCTGCAGCAGCAGGAGTGGGGAACAGGGGTGGTCCTAAACTGTAATGAACAGGGGGCAGTGCCCCTGTAAAATTGCTCCTGGTCACTGTTTTACTTTAACAAAAATAAATAAAAAAATGAAGGAGTTGCACTTTATGCTTCTGCCTTGTGTGCTCCCATAAAAAAACACTGGCCCCATCTTGTCCCCCCAGATAAATGTGGTGTAGAACTGCTACAAAGTAAAAGTTTATATTTTAGCAGGGAGTGTGACACTTGTTATTTTAACCATGATGATGGTGTGAAATAGACTTCAATTAAAATTGTGTGTACCTTTTAAAGGGCCAATATTTTGTGTTTCTCAGGCATATATTTAAATACTATACCATAATAAAGTATCTATGTCACTTTTAGCTGTTATTAAAATGCTGTTTTTATGTTTATACAGAAAATAAACTTATCTTCTCATCACTTCCTCTTCTAGATGCCTTGAAATTGGCCTCTGTCTCTTTAAGAACCACCTTCCGCTTCTGTCCCGCCCATTTCAGTGCGGGAGGGATGCAGTTTACTTGGCATTTAAAAATACATTTCCTTAAAGGTATTTTTAATCTGAAAAGAGCTTCACTGAGTGAGAAGTAATGTCGAGAGCAGCAGACAGTTTAAGTTTCACTTTCTCTTTGCGCTGTTACTGCCAAGAGCCTGCAGGAGTCATGGGCGGGTTTCTGGTCCCCACCTGTCGTTTTGCTCCTCAGCATGGCTTCATAAAAACGCTGCAGGATTTCTCAAACATGCATGAATGAGTCAGAGCAAGGCTTTGGACATGTTTTTTATGAGAGTATAACATTATAACGATATAAAACTCAAAAAAGTTGATTTTTATATGATATTGCCCCTTAAAATAATAATTGTGCTCGTGGTGTTACAAAAATCAAGCTTCTGTTTTGT